GGTGGTGTGTGACGGTGTGGTGGTGCTGTTGTGTGACGGTGTGGTGGTGTGTGACTGTGTGGTGTCGCTGCAGGCTTCCGCCTGGCTGTGCTGCAGCTGCAGGTGGGCAGCATCAAAGCGGACAACCTGAGCAGGGCCCGGCGGCTGGTGAAGGAGGCGGCGGGACAAGGAAGCAAGGTGATGCTGCTGCCGGTGAGGGTCACCAACACAATCTGTCCATTTCCCTTCAAAACGCATCTTTTTGTATAATTTCTGTAATCTTTCTCACCATCAGCCAAACACTGGTGTCTTTTTATCAGTAGACTCGGGCATGACTTGACGAGGACAGTTAGACATTTGTTACACTTGGGTTTTCTGCTTAGTTACTATTTAACTATCAATAATGTCGAAAGGTTTCAAGATGAACATTAACTTACGTGAGAGGCTCAGACCATTTAAATTTGGTTGGTACAAAAACTGTGGCAACAAGCAGTAAGATTCAGGTGCATTAAAAGGTCTTTTATTATATTTTATTTTTTTTAAAGAAAAACATTTAAAGTTATTACACAGAGTAGGGCTGGACAATAATTCAATATTGATATATGTCACGATATACTTTTATTCAATAACGATGATATGAGTTTTAATCACATTTTCGATATTTCAATAAGATGACAGCGTTTTATGAAACAAAAGCTTCAAAACATGCAGTAAAATTACATCGAACCACTGCTTCGCAGCCTGTTTTGGTGTGGAAGAAGTCACGTGACACGTGACGTCCGAAACACAAACTGCTTCGTTGTTGGAATGAATCTCTGGACTGGTTCACGGTCCAATCAGCTGACTCCCTGCTCCGCCTCGTGTCGATTCTGACAGGTGACAGGTGGAGACAGTTTTGAACTGAGAGCTCAGCACGATGAAGCGGCTGTGTTTCTGCTGTTAGTTCAAACTGAGGAATTATGGAGGCAGCCAGGAAGACAGGTGGTTCTAACATGTGGGTTCATTCTGCTCATGGTGAGGCGGTTTAAATGTCAACAAAGTTCTAGTAATGTTCAGCAGTGAAGATATTATCTAACCCATGTATTTAATATAATTACAGTAAAATGATGTATGTGATTTTAATAATCATGTATCAGTGTGGGCTCAAATGATGATTTTTATTTCCATTAGTGTATTTCTACAGGAGCAGTGTTTGGTGTGTTCAACTGAAGCATCATGATACCTCCTCTATGATTAGACTAGGGCTGCAACAACGAATCCAAAAAATTGATAAAAATCGGAAAAAATTGATGATTAAAAGTGCTGGCAACGAATTTCATTATGGATTTGTTGTGTCGCACGATTAAGCGTCTTTCACGGCGCTGCAGAGCCGTTTTGTTCACCTGCAGTTCATTGTCAATGCTGACTGACTGAATAAAGTTTGAAAAAAACAAACCTGCAGCGTGAGTTGAACAGAGCGAGGAGGAGGAGGAGGAGGCAGAGCAGAGTGTTTTCAAAGGAACATAAGTAAATTTTACAAATGACCGACGCAGAGAAAACTGTTGGACCCAAGTCCTCCAAGTGTGGGAGAACTTCACAAAGATAAAAACTCAGAAACATGCAGCTTTGAAAATTTACGACACGACACGGGAGAACCACGGAGATAAACGTAAACATGTTGGAGTCACGAGCTGCAGCTGATAAATGTCTCACTCCCAACTGGTGTTGCAGGTGAGTCTCTACAATTTAACACTTTGTTCTGTTTCAAGAGAGAAAATGTAACGTCAGTCTGTCTGAAGATGAAGCTGCTGCTTGTTTGTTTGTTTGTTTGTTTATCTGATTAATGACGGTGATAGAGAACGTGTGTTACTTTTTATTTAATTTATTTGGTACAAGCAGTGTTTAAATGTGATTTATAAATAAATCTAACACAAAGATAATAATTTAATGATTAAGCTTCAACTTTTAATTTGCTGGCAAAGTCTGAAGACACTGCAGGTATGGCAGGATGAATTGCATTTAAACAGGAATTAAAGTAATTTATTACATTACTCAAATGTGTGTAATTAAATATTTTATATATATGTGTGTGTGTGTGTGTTAATTGTTCTTTTAGCTACTTTTGCCTGAACCTAACACTGTAAGTGAAACAAGGCATTTCTTGAGTTGCTGTAAATTATGATATAAAACATATTTACTGTCTCATTCCAGAAAACAACAACAACAACAACACTTCATGATGGACAGACATCATGGACACCACAGCAACAGCTGTCTTCACTGAAACATCCTGAACATGATCGTCACTGACATGAGGCCTCTGTCCATGGTTGAAGACAAAGGCTTCACTACAATAATCCACACTTTTAATCCAAGTTACAATAATCCACACTTTTAATTCAGGTTACATAATCCACATTTTTAATCCAGGTTACAATAATCCACACTTTTAATCCAGGTTACAATAATCTACACTTTTAATCCAGGTTACAATAATCCACATTTTTAATCCAGGTTACAATAATCCACACTTTTAATCCAGGTTACAATAATCTACACTTTTAATCCAGGTTACAATAATCCACACTTTTAATCCAGGTTACACTCTTCCCTCAAGGACACATTTTACAAAGTATCTACATATTGTGCAGGTATAAAGACACATTTGTATATATTTTTGTGTACATTTATTTTTTTAAGCTATTTGACTAACTTTTATTTTTTATTATTCTAGAATAGTAAACTAGCAACCTGTTTTTTGTGTGAATTTCTATGTCAGTCAAATGTTCAATTTTGGAATAAAGGGGTGGAAATTAAAACGTTTTTTTTGTTCTTTTCGATTCATCGATTAATCGAGAGAGAAAAAAATCGGCCGATGAATCGATTATTGAAATAATCGTTAGTTGCAGCCCTAGATTAGGCACTTCAGCTCCAAACATGGAGATGATGGAGACATCATTTCATTGTTATTTTATGAACGATAAAGACTCGGACTCTGCCACAGGCACAATACCATTGCAACATTTTTATTAAATCAATTCAGTGCACATTTATCAATCTTTATTTGAAAACATGTAAGCATAAATACATTTTTGAACCAGACAACATAGAAAGTTGATGAATTTAAAAAGTCTTTTTTTTTTTTTTTTTACCACAGTAAAGTAGTTTCTTAAACACTAGTCACTGAAGTTCTTCGCTGTGTGACACCAAAAGCCTAACTTGACAGCAGCATTGCAAAATGCCACAAGAGGTCATTGTAACTGAAGCTTCAACAAATGAACCTGTTTTTGAAACAATTGGCCCAACTGGTTCAATACTTCATAAAAGCTTCATTTACTCATCACTGCAGCGTTTCACTGACACATTTGTTTTTCTAAAAAAGTTAAATCTGGTCCTCTGGACATTCAAATGTTTGAATGACAGAGGACCAGATTTAACTTTTTTAGATTTTTCTACCTGTATTATTGAGCAGCATCAGGAGATTTCTTTTTCTGTTTGGGTTGAAGCGGCCGCTTCAGTTTCAACCCGGACAGAAAAAGGTGTGACACAACTACGTAAGTGCGCGGTGACGTATTGTTACGCAGAGCTCGAGTCCAGAATGCGTTAGCAGTAGGCAGTTGGACATTTTTCAAAAGTTGTTTTAATTAATGGCCTTCTGCTTGCAACTAAAAGAACGAGCACTAAAAATGCAACTAAAGGACACCTCATTTGTTGACATTGAATGAATAACACAGGAGATATTGTTATTCAAAGTAGTAGTTTTAATGTACTTTAATTAAGATAATTTACAACAGAGAAAAATAATTGTGTTAATTAACAAACACTTCTGACTGAAAAGAAGTGTTTATTAAAATAAACACCAGTTCTATGTGGTAAACAGTATCCTAATCAAATTCAGTGGTGATGTCACTGAATATATGTAAATGTTTTTCCTGCTGACCTTGGGGTCACCAGGTGACCTTGATGACTCCCAAGGTCAAAGGTCACATTAGTGCAGTCTTGAAGCTAGCAGAAACGGTTACTTCAATGAAAACAAACATATGCACAATTTGTGATGCATTCTAAGGTGAATTCTGTACAACTATGGTTGGAAGTCAGTGTTTCCCCTAGATAACTTGCCATGGCGGGGTTCTCATCTCGTCCATGATTTTTGTTGATGGGAGACGGACACTTGTCTGAGCGCAGCTTGTACTAACAGTTTTTGAGTGGGGGCAGGGGGCGTTTAGCATGAGGGAAGAGGCGACATGAGTGCTTCCTTTAGCTTTTTAGCTAGAGAACCTGTATTTCTCGCTGCTTGCTTAGTGCTATGTCAGTGCTGGGTGGGGAGGTGGGGGGGGCAAGTTTGGTTTGGTAGGCGGGGTGCTCAATTCAGTTGACGGGGTGGGGCACCCCGCTTGTATAATTGTAGGGGAAACACTGAATGTGATAAAGCTCTGATTAGTCTTATTAGAATGACTTGTTCAATAATCTTTGTAGAGATCTAGTATAGAGCTGTATGAATGGATAAATGAGGCAAAGATTGTTGTGTAAAGCGCTTTGAATATCTTGAAATAAGATAGAAAGGTGCTATATAAGTACAGTCCATTTACCATTCAAATCAAAATGTAGCTCAGAATGAGAGGGTTCTAAAACTGCACCTTATGCATAGATTTAAAACTTTTCCTGGATTATTTCCCCTCTCTTTTAATTCAAAGCAAGATCACCCTGGCTGTAGTCTGTCAGGAATTTGAAAAGGGGTATCTGATGGTCCTCACACTCCTCCTCAGCCTCATTGTCTCTCCAGTATGACAAACAAACTGTTGTCAAGACATTTCTCTTTTGCCACACTCAACACCCTACCACGGTAAAGTACATTGCATCCATCCTTTTCAGAAAACCAGACATCCATCCATTATCTTTTACCTGCTTCTTCCATTTTTTCGGGTCACGGGGGTCGCCGGTGCCCATTTCCAGCAATCACTGTGCGAGGGGCGGGGTACACCATGGACAGGTCTCCAGTCCATCACAGGGACACATAGAGACAAACGAGACAAGCAACCATTCACTCTCTCTTCAGAAAACCAGACATGGTCAATACAACAATTAACCAGACTCTTGGGATTGTTCACAACATCACCAACAACTTCTCTCTGCTCTTCACTCAAACCCAGTTCTTCGGCCGGTTCATCCTTAAGTTCACCACTTTCTACTGCTGCTTTCAGTTTCTTCTCCACTGTGTTCCGATGTTTGGTTTC